ATTTGGCATAGGAGAAGAAATACTTTGGGTTTCTTTCGATTTCATTTATGGTTTTTAGTTCTTCCCGCGATTCCTGACTCCTATAAGATTCCTTTAGCTTAAGTTCGATGCTTGCTATTTCTCTGACCAGTGTCTCCCGACGCATTTCAGATATATTGACCTCTTTTAGCTGCTCTGTTATTCTTTTTCTTCGCCTGTAAAGGGAGCGCCTGTCTCTTTCTATTTTACATCTACTCCTCCTTTTTCTTAAAGGAATAAGCCTTGTACATACATCGAGTGCCACCAAGTTAATCTGTTCTAGGCATAAGTTGGGGTCTGTGTTGCTTAGTATATCTTCCCAGCTTATATCGGTTAGGACTTGGTTTACTTGGTCCCCCTTTATGTTTCTGTTATTCGAAGTTGAATTTGGTGAATGCTCCCTCGTGACTAGTCTCATTATGTCGGTCTGGGGCTCCACGCATACATGTCTTTATTCAAAAATTTATTTCGAAAGGCAAATTGATTAACAATTTCAGTCTCATCTTCTCTAATTCTTTATCTAACTCGCAGAAACCCTTGCTCAAAAATTATAAAATTATAATAAACTTCCTTTATATCCAAGTAAAAATTTAATAATTAAGTGTCCCCAAAGAAGCCTAGTTGGTTACATGTTATTTTTTTATTCCAAAAGATTTTCGGTTATAACTTGAGAAGGCCTCTTCCGATTGGCCAATATATCTGCAAAGAGGCTAATATATCTGCAATACGTAGGGAGACACTGGTCAGAGAAATAGCAAACATTGAACTAAAGCTAAAGGAATCTTATAGGAGTCAAGAAACGTGAGAACTAAAAGTCATAAATGAAACCGGAAGAAACCCAAAGTATTTCTTTTCTGATGCCAAATCAGTCTAGAACAACATCCAGTATTGGGCCCCTACTTAAACGAGATGGGTCCTACACAGATGACAGCAAGGAAATGAGTGAACCACTAACCAGACTGAGAGTCGAAGACCTATGTGGAAAATAATGTATTTTCTGGAAAAAATACAGTGTATTTTCATGTAAATTAGTGTAATACATTGTATTAATAAAATTTGCGCCTGCGCAGAGGAGACTCGCCATGTTTGAACTAGTCAACACAAACGTTAGTGAATAATCGGAAGAATTTTCGTGCTCTAGAGGCTAAATTGGACTGACACCTCTCAAATAGGAGCCGAACTTGTTGGATGTGCATTCCTGCATAACTTGAGATATCAGACGACTGGACAAGACAGCTCCAGGAACCTCAGATAAGCTATCTAAATTTTGTTATAATTCTGGCCAGCATTATTTTCATACATTTGGTTAGAATGAGGTTTTTGAGTATGATACACATTAATCTCCAGTCAAATTGGTGAGTGATATTAAGATATATTCTCCTTCTGTTATATAAATGTGTATAAGTATCATTAATTTTAAGATACAGTCCACCAATTTTTATATTTACCAGAATTCCTGGTGGGTATGTACATTTTATTTGTAATTATAGGTCTAGAGCAATAATAATTATCTGTGTTACCATTTACTGGTATGTACCTTATGAATTACATCCTTTGTATAAAGGCAAAGGGGATAAAAGAGAGTGCAAAAATTATAGGGGGATAAGTCTGTTGAGTGTACCTGGTAAAGTGTATGGTAGAGTTATAATTGAAAGAATTAAGAGTAAGACGGAGAATAGGATAGCAGATGAACAAGGAGGCTTTAGGAAAGGTAGGGGGTGTGTGGACCAGGTGTTTACAGTGAAACATATAAGTGAACAGTATTTAGATAAGGCTAAAGAGGTCTTTGTGGCATTTATGGATTTGGAAAAGGCGTATGACAGGGTGGATAGGGGGGCAATGTGGCAGATGTTGCAAGTGTATGGTGTAGGAGGTAGGTTACTGAAAGCAGTGAAGAGTTTTTTACGAGGATAGTGAGGCTCAAGTTAGAGTATGTAGGAAAGAGGGAAATTTTTTCCCAGTAAAAGTAGGCCTTAGACAAGGATGTGTGATGTCACCGTGGTTGTTTAATATATTTATAGATGGGGTTTGTAAGAGAAGTAAATGCGAGGGTCTTGGCAAGAGGCGTGGAGTTAAAAGATAAAGAATCACACACAAAGTGGGAGTTGTCACAGCTGCTCTTTGCTGATGACACTGTGCTCTTGGGAGATTCTGAAGAGAAGCTGCAGAGATTGGGGATGAATTTGGTAGGGTGTGCAAAAGAAGAAAATTAAAGGTAATACAGGAAAGAGTAAGGTTATGAGGATAACAAAAAGATTAGGTGATGAAAGATTGAATATCAGATTGGAGGGAGAGAGTATGGAGGAGGTGAATGTATTCAGATATTTGGGAGTGGACGTGTCAGCGGATGGGTCTATGAAAGATGAGGTGAATCATAGAATTGATGAGGGAAAAAGAGTGAGTGGTGCACTTAGGAGTCTGTGGAGACAAAGAACTTTGTCCTTGGAGGCAAAGAGGGGAATGTATGAGAGTATAGTTTTACCAACGCTCTTATATGGGTGTGAAGCGTGGGTGATGAATGTTGCAGCGAGGAGAAGGCTGGAGGCAGTGGAGATGTCATGTCTGAGGGCAATGTGTGGTGTGAATATAATGCAGAGAATTCGTAGTTTGGAAGTTAGGAGGAGGTGCGGGATTACCAAAACTGTTGTCCAGAGGGCTGAGGAAGGTTGTTGAGGTGGTTCGGACATGTAGAGAGAATGGAGCGAAACAGAATGACTTCAAGAGTGTATCAGTCTGTAGTGGAAGGAAGGCGGGGTAGGGGTCGGCCTAGGAAGGGTTGGAGGGAGGGGTAAAGGAGGTTTTGTGTGCGAGGGGCTTGGACTTCCAGCAGGCATGCGTGAGCGTGTTTGATAGGAGTGAATGGAGACAAATGGTTTTTAATACTTGACGTGCTGTTGGAGTGTGAGCAAAGTAACATTTATGAAGGGATTCAGGGAAACCGGCAGGCCGGACTTGAGTCCTGGAGATGGGAAGTACAGTGCCTGCACTCTGAAGGAGGGGTGTTAATGTTGCAGTTTAAAAACTGTAGTGTAAAGCACCCTTCTGGCAAGACAGTGATGGAGTGAATGATGGTGAAAGTTTTTCTTTTTCGGGCCACCCTGCCTTGGTGGGAATCGGCCAGTGTGATAATAATAAAAAAAAAAAATGCAATTTTCCACAACATAAATGAATATTTTTATGAGTCACAGAATTTGGTAGATACACACCTATCTGATATTATTCTGGCGCCAAATGACTTCGAAAAGGCGCTAAATAGCATGCCAATGTACTCTGCCCCAGGCCCAGACTCATGGAACTCCTTGTTCATCAAGAACTGCAAAAAGCCCCTATCACGCACTTTTAATACCCTATGGAGAGGGAGCATGGACACGGGGGTCGTCCCACAGTTACTAAAAACAGACATAGCCCCACTCCACAAAGGGGGCAGTAAAGCAATAGCAAAGAACTACAGACCGATAGCACTAACGTCCCATATCATAAAAATCTTTGAAAGGGTTCTAAGAAGCAAGATCACCACTCATCTAGATACCCATCAGTTACACAACCCAGGGCAGCATGGGTTTAAAGCAGGTTGCTCCTATCTGTTCCAAATATTGGACCACTACGACAAGGTCCTGGATGCTCTAGAAGACAAACAGAATGTAATATACACAGACTTTGCAAAAGCCATCGACAAGTGTGACCATGGTGATAAAGGAATAACAGGAAAAGTTGGTAGATGGATCTATAATTTCCTAACAAACAGAACACAAAAAGCAGTAGTCAACAAAGTAAAGTCTGAGGAGGCTAGGGTGAAAAGCTCTGTTCCACAATCACAGTGCTCACCCCCATCTTGTTCCTCATCCTCATATCGGACATAGACAGGGATATAAGCCACAGCGCAGTGTTTTCCATTGCATATGACACCCGAATTTGCATGACAGTGTCCTTCATTGAAGACACTGAAAGACTCCAGGCGGACATCAACTAAGTCTTTAAATGGGCTGCAGAAAACAATATGAAGTTCAATGATGAGAAATTTCAATTACTCTGATATGGAAAGCATGAGGAAATTTAAATCTCATCAGAGTATAAAATCAAATTCCAACCACACAATAAAGTGAAAAACTAGTGTCAAAGACCTGGAGTTGATCAGAGGATCTCACCTTCAAGGATCATGACATTGTATCAGTCGCATCTGCTAGAAAAATGACAGAATGGATAATGAGAACCTTCAAAACCAGGGATGTCAAGCCCATGATGACACTCTTCAGGTCGCTTGTTCTAAGGCTGGAATATTGCTGCACACTAACAGCACCTTTCAATGCAGGTGAAATTGCTGACCTAGAAAATGTACATAATTATTAAAATCATGGGATTATACAATGCCGGGGTGGGGGGGATGGGAGGTATTCAGGCCCAATTCAGGGAACTGGAACATAGATCCAATTCCCTAGATTAAGAGCCCCTGCTTTGAGGGGTAGAAAATGTACAGAGAACCTTCATGGCACACATAACTGCAATAAACCACCTCATTTACTGGGAACACTTGAAGTTCCTTAACCTGTACTCCCTAGAACGCAGGAGGGAGAGATACATGATTATATACACCTGGAAAATCCTAGCGGAACTAGTACCAAACTTGCATACATAAATCACTCCCTACGAAAGTAAAAGACTCGGCAGACGGTGCAACATCCCCCAAATGAAAAGCGTGGGTGCCGCTAGCACGATGAGAGACACCACAATAAGTGTCAGGGGCCGAAGACTGTTTAATTATTATCTCCCAGCATACATCAGGGGGATTACCAATAGCCTCTTGGCTGTCTTCAAGCAGGCACTGGACAGGCACCTAAAGTCGGTACCTGACCAGCCGGATTGTGGTTCGTTCATTGGATTACATGCTGCCAGCAGTAATAGCCTGGTTGATCAGGCCCTGATTTACCATGAGGCCTGGTCACAGACCGGGCCGCAGGGGTATTGACCCCCAGAATTCTCTCCAGGTATACTCCAGGTAAACTTTCCAGTACTGCTGAACTATTGATATAAAAACACTTGTGCAAGTATTGCCAGGTGCTGAAGGCCTCTGGTCAATGTTATATTAACCATACTCAGATTTTGTTTCAGTGGGATAACTTAAGTAATGCTCTTCTTATTGGTTTCAAATTTTCTACACTGGTGCATCTAAGAAAATATATTGCTAATGTATTTTGACTGTGTAGGTGCCAACTTGGCAAAGTTATTTTGAAAATGCCTCATCTAAAGAGCTTCAATCTTTAATCAGTGTTGCACCTTATTGATACGATGGAACCCAGTTAGTTTAGATTTTGTAGCTGCAAAATTATGAATATCCTAACATATACTATGATATGGCCTTTGATGCACTAGAAGACAAACATAATGCATATGTAATATACATAGACTTTACAAAAGCTTTGACAAGTGCAATCATGGTGTAATAGTGCACAAAATGAGTGGGCAGATGGAGCTTCAACTTTCTAATCAATCGAACACAAAGATTAGTGGTAAACAGAGTTAAATCGGAAGCTGCCATAGTGAAAAGCTCTGTTCCACAAGGCAAAGTACTCGCCCCCATACTGTTCCTCATCCTCATATCAGACAGAGACAGAGATGTAATCCACAGCACCGTGTCATCCTTTGCAGACGATACTAGGATCTGCATGAGACTGTCATCCACTGAGGACACTGTTAACCTCCAAAAAGATAGAAACCAAGTTTTCCGATGGGCAAGGGAAAACAATATCATGTTCAATAAATACAAATCTCCAGCTACTCTGTTATGGAAAACTGGAGGAGATAATAATTAGAAGTGAGTATACTACAAACTCTAATTATACAATTGAGTGGAAAAGTAATGTAAAGGACCTGGGAGTGGTAATGTCTGAGGATCTCACTTTCAAGGATCACATCAATGCCACTATCACAACTGCAAAAAAAAAAAAAATGATAGGATAAATAATGAGAACATTCAGAACAAGAGATGCCAAACTAATGATGATCCTTTTAAATCACTTGTTCTCTCTAGGCTGGAATACTGCTATACATTAACATCTCCATTCATAGCAGGTGAAACTGCAGATCTAGAGTGCACATAGAACCTTTACTGTACATCTAAGTTCTGTCAAACACCTTAACTACCGGAAGCACTTTCAATCACTTGACTTGTACTCGGTGGAATGCAGGCGAGAGAGAGATATCATAATCTACACTTGGAATATCCTAGATGGAATAGTCCCTAATCTGCACACAGAAATCATTTCCAACAAAAGTAAAAGACTGGAAAGGCAGTGCGAAATACCCCAATTGAAAAGTAGGGGCACCATTGGTACATTAAGAGAAAACACAATGAGTGTCTGGGGCCCAAGGCTGCTCAACAGCTTCCCACCAAGCATAAAGGGAATTACCAATACGCCCCTGGCTACCTTGAAGAGGGAGCTGGACAAATACTTAAAATCGGTGATGGATCAGCTGGGCTGTGGTTCCTACATTGGAATACATGCGGCCAGCAGTAACAGCCTGGTTGATCAGGCACTGATCCACCGGGAGGCCTGATCGTGGACCGAGCCGCGGGGACGTTGATCCTCGGAATACCAGACAGGTAATAAACTTAAAATTGCTTAACTCTGAAGAAGACCTGAAGAATACCTAACCATACCACGGGTGGAGTTTGAACCTGCGGTCAGACAGTCTGGAGTTTTGAGACTTCTGAGACCCCACCCATGGTACAGTTTGTTTGCAATCGTGTCATTACGTGAGTCCTGAAGAATACCTCTTGTGATCGGTTTCAAACATTCATTGATGGTGAGCTTAGCTGAATTTTTGCTTTGACTTTGGGTTGTGAAAGGTTTATTGTCAAGTTAGTTTCCATGTGTAATGGAAGAATGTTTTTTCTGATTGGCTTCAACCCAAATGCTAGAGTTTCTTAAAGAAATTTTTAGACTGGTTTTGAGCTGCATAGGTGCCAACTTGCCAATTTTATTAAAGATTAGATTTTGCCACAGAAGTGGCTAGTTTATTGTGCACCCCATATCCATCTTGTGGACAGCAGCACCAGAGCATATGGACACACAAAAGGCCTAGGAACTAGGCCCCAAAAGGTGTACATATGGATTTATATCAACATATTACCTGGAGAGAGTTTCGGGGGTCAACGCCCCTGCGGCCCGGTCTGTGACCAGGCCTCCTGGTGGATCAGCCCCTGATCAACCAGGCTGTTGCTGCTGGCTGCACGCAAACCAACGTACGAGCCACAGCCCGGCTGATCAGGAACTGACTTTAGGTGCTTGTCCAGTGCCAGCTTGAAGACTGCCAGGGGTCTGTTGGTAATCCCCCTTATGTGTGGTGGGAGGCAGTTGAACAGTCTCGGGCCCCTGACACTTATTGTATGGTCTCTTAACGTGCTAGTGACACCCCTGCTTTTCATTGGGGGGATGGTGCATCATCTGCCAAGTCTTTTGCTTTCATAGTGAGTGATTTTCGTGTGCAAGTTCGGTACTAGTCCCTCTAGGATTTTCCAGGTGTATATAATCATGTATCTCTCCCGCCTGCGTTCCAGGGAGTACAGGTCTATGTCGGATATGAGGATGAGGAACAAGATGGGAGCTAGTACTGTGCCTTGTGGAACAGAGCTTTTCACCGTAGCTGCCTCGGACTTTACTCTGTTGACGACTACTCTCTGTGTTCTGTTAGTGAGGAAATTATAGATCCATCGACCGACTTTTCCTGTTATTCCTTTAGCACGCATTTTGTGCGCTATTACGCCATGGTCACACTTGTCGAAGGCTTTTGCAAAGTCTGTATATATTACATCTGCATTCTTTTTGTCTTCTAGTGCATTTAGGACCTTGTCGTAGTGATCCAATAGTTGAGACAGACAGGAGCGACCTGTTCTAAACCCATGTTGTCCTGGGTTGTGTAACTGATGGGTTTCCACAGTTCACTTATCTGTTACAAGCAAATTTAGGAAATTTGCTTAGTTTATCTGGTATCTTATTTTCATTAATTAAAATAATTCGTGAAAACTGGAAAATGGGTTCCATGCAATAATTTGTACATAAATGCTTCTTCCCATCACTTTAGTCTTCAATGTTGATATATTTTGTACATGCTATTTAAATTTTACTTCAACCACTCAGCTATTGTTATGGAGCTCATGGCAGGTATGCAAATTACATTTACATAAAATGAAAATATTTTCTTATGAAATGTTAATGCTTTTGTTTACTTCGTTGTTTATTCACCCATAACTGAATCTCCATCAAAGACAGCACAATTAAACTTTGCCACAGGTTTCAATATACCAAGAATACATTTTAGGCAATACCTCATTCCAAAATTTTACATACTGTAAACGTGTCCCATGAGAGGGGCATTTATTTGCTCTGTCATTGACACATCCTATTAAAGGTCTTTTTAAAATGATTTTAAAAACAAACAGCTTTAAAAATATTAATTTTGGGGAGGAAGCTTTATCTGGAGTATTTTTAGCGCATAATATTCTTAGATGGTAAAATTAAGAAAAATACCCTTTCTACTGATAAGGTGGGTAGGTAGGATGCAAGGGTTCCAAACCCACATAATGATAACATGGATACAGGTGACATGAGTTCCCTACAACTGCCTCCTGTTAAGTTGGATACAGGTGTCATGTATCACCCACAACTGCCTCTTAATTAAGGTGGAACGTGGGCATGAGACCCTTACACTCACCTACCTGGAGTATACCTGGAGAGTTCTGGGGGTCAACGCCCCCATGGCCTGGTCTCTGACTAGGCCTCATGGTGGATCAGAGCCTGATCAACAAGGCTGTTACTGCTAGCCGCACATAATCCAATTTACGAGCTACAACCCGGTTGGTCAGGTTCTGAATTTAGGTGCCTGTCCATTGCCTCCTTGAAGACAGCCAGGGGTCTATTGGTAATCCCCCTGATGTATGCTGGGAGTGCATACAGAATAGTATTACTGGGGGTAACTGTAGAAAATTATTTCTTTCGTATGCCTTCACTCAGAGTGTCATTCCTTCTAAAAACAGTCTGTTACAAGAGAATGGGAGCGTTGCTCTTTATTTGTTCTACTGTACCAATGTGGAGACAATGTGAAGTGTTTGCATTATGGTATAAGATTCACAATCATGGAAATGATTGTGTATCAGCCATAACCAGATGCGTTCATCTGCTTGTATACAGACTCCATGTCTCTGTCCTCTCTCATTTATTCATTTTACCTCGCTTACTCACCAATCACCCTATAGTAAGACTACAAATATCTTATGGTAAGTAATGAACATATATATATATGCATTCTATCACTCTAGGGTACTTTAAATGTATATTACGTGTGGGTGAGGTAGCCATACCTACCATACCTGACTACCATACCTACCCGGTGGCCTGGTGGCTAAAGCTCCTGCTTCACACACGGAGGGCCCAGGTTCGATTCCCGGCGGGTGGAAACATTTCGACACGTTTTCCTTACACCTATTGTCCTGTTCACCTAGCAGCAAATAGGTACCTGGGTGTTAGTCGACTGGTGTGGGTTGCATCCTGGGGGACAAGATTAAGGACCCCAATGGAAATAAGTTAGACAGTCCTCGATGACGCACTGACTTTCTTGGGTTATCCTGGGTGGCTAACCCTCCGGGGTTAAAAATTCGAACGAAATCTTATCTTATCTTATCTTATCTCACACCTGACCTCTTAAAATAATTACTACTCACCTCTCACCCTACATTAAGACTACAAATATTTTAAGGTAAGTAATGACTGTACAGTGCGTGTGTTTTACTTTTTATTGTTTTTAATGCCTTTTTCTATTGCTAACTATATACTGCTATGAAAAAAAGCCCCCCCAAAATTCCGCAAATTTGTGGGGATTTCCACGAACAATTATTAGTTAGGTTCCAAGGAAAAATTGTGACTTCCTGAAGCCGTGAATTCTAAACAGTGAATTCTATGTTCTTTTATATGTTATTACTTGTTTAAATTTTGTGCTATAAGTCAAACCTTACTGTTTAAATTTGTTTAATACCATATTTACTATCTGTCCATTTTATATTTTTTGTATTATTATTTGTTTAGTCTCTGTATAATCTTTTAGAATAGTTCTTTGCATACCAGTACTTTGTACAGCCTTTTATAAATTTTCCTATTACCTTCGGTGCAATACTGAATCCTAAAAGTGTGCAATATTGCTTTAATACTTGTCAGTCATTATATCAACCTTATTAATAGTAATAGTATCTTTTCTGTTAGCTATACATCCTTAATCCTGCATTAGTCATACGAGTGCAAACATTAAATTAAATTAAATTAAATTAAATTAAATTAAATTCTTTATTCTTTGCCTTTGCTCCAGATTCTCCACCACCATGATGCTGTAAACATTAACTCCAAGACTGAGGGACCAATTACTTCACCTTTTGTATATAGTTCTACTGTCTCTTAATTATGTCCTAGAATCTGAATTGATAAAGCCATTGGATGGCAAAACGTCAACAATAAAGATATCCAAATGTTGCACGTGTCATAACTTACATATTGTCAGTATTTTAAACCTTTCTTGCACAACTTGTCAGACACTGCAACATCATGGAATCTTGGTTCAGAGGACATCTACAAGACCTTCTTCACGGCTACTACAACTAACCCATCCCTTTGGGTAGGACCTACTTCCACTGGGGAATTCCGCCTACCAGTGACTATGCCCTTGTCTGCTACATGTCCTTATCCACTGACGCCTATATAACCACCAGTCTCCTTGCCTTTGCTCCAGATTCTCCACCACCACGATGCTGTAAACATTAACTCCAAGGCTGAGAGACTGATTACCTCAACTTTTGTATATAGTTCTACTGTCTTCTAATTATGTCCTAGAATCTGTATTGATAACGCCACTGGATGGCGAAACGTCTACAATAAAGATATCCAGATGTTGCACATGTGTCTTAACTTACATACTGTTGGTATTTTATACCTTTCTTGCACAATAAGGGATGGTCCTGATATTAACCTCTTATTAAATGACATATATGATCCTAACAATAAATGCCTTTATTACACTGCCAGTCAGGCTAAGACACTACTCAGTGCCAACAATAACATAACAGTATTCAATTATAATGTCAGATAATTAAGCAAACACTATGATGACCTCCAAGCACTACTCAATTCTCTAAATGTCAGTATGTCTATCATTACTCTCACTGAAACATGGCTAAAACATGATGTTACAAACATCTATGCCATCCCTAGCTACACGGCCTTACACAATTGTAGGCCAGACCAATTAGGAAGTGGCACAGCTATATACTACTCTGATGAACTTGAATGTATAAATTCTACTTGCACAAGGGATGAATATGGTGAATACATATTTTCTAAATTTAAATCCAAAGACCTTAAAAAACCTTTAACAGTTGGAGCAATCTAAAGAGTACTCATTAGTGAAAGACTAAGAAACATGATAACTGATGCAGAGATGAATAACCACCACCTGATACTTACAGGGGACTTCAACATAACTTCATCCATGATTATGACCCACATGTAACTGAATTCACAAACAATGTGAGCAGCTGCTTGCTTCTGCCAACTATATGAAAACCTACAAGAATCTCCGAGACAAATGCCTCTTTACTTGATCATATCTGGACAAACACTATATCCCCATTAAAAGCAGGCATAATCACAGATAACACCACTGACCACTATCCCACCTTTCTCATAACCAACTTATGTAAATTCTCAAGACACAACTAAAATCACCTTCCAACTACATGACGAGTCATCTGTAAATAACTTTATTTCAGCATTAAGTAACATCAACTGGCAGAATGAGCTAGCAGTCAACCTCAATACTGATGACTGTGTTAATATTTTTTTATAAACAACCCAAAATCTCTATAACATGCATTGCCCAATAAAAACTAAGAAGATCATAGCAAAGAGACTAAACAGCCCCTGGCTTACAAACAGCATCCTTAAATGACTCACGAAATCGTAATGACACGATTGCAAACAAACCATACCACGGGCGGGATTTGAACCCGCGGTATGGTATGGTTTGTTTGCAATTGTGTCATTACGATTTCGTGAGTCATGTTAACGGCTTTGAGGGGACTTGAGCTAGAGTTCGTCACGGCCACGCTAGCTGGAGATTCGTCTGTAAAAACTTGCATTTGTGGACACAGTGGTGCCTATGCTAACCTTCCTATGGTGTAGAAATATACCTAGTTGGATGAATCTTATTGTGACTAGCTGGCCCAGTGGCTAACGCGACGGTCTGGTGTTTTGAGACTCTCTGACCGTGGGCTCAAATTCCGCTCGTGGTATGGTTTTTTAGCATCCTTAAATCTATTGATAAAAATCATCTATATAAAAAACAGTACAGAATGGGTCTAATAACAAAAGATCTGGCAAAACATTACTCGTCAATACTAATTTAATAAGGTCAAAAAACTATTACTAAATCAGATTTCATGACATAAAAGGTGATATGAAAAAGACCTGGAAAACCTGAAATTCTAGGATATAAAAAGCTGTCTCACAACAGAGTGATTAACTTAATGAAACCAGAAGAATCTCTCCTCTAGCCAACAGACTGCCAATAAACTTAATGTCTTTTTGTCGACCGTAGGAACAAAGCTAGCAACTAAAATCCCAAACTCAAATTCTACTGAAATCTCGCTCATCATCAAAACACTAAAGAACAAGATAGGACACCTAAATAACTTACCGCCACTCATGTAAAAAAAAAAAAGCTTCTCATGTGTTGTCACCAATTATTGCAACTCTCTTTAACAGATCCACTGAACCTTCCACCTTCTCATCCATACTTAAGACAGCAAGGGTCACACCAATCCTCAAAGGAGGTGATCCAATGGAACTGAACAACTATAGGCCTATATCAAATTTGCCCTTACTATCTAAAATCTTTGAAATATTAATTCACAAACAAGTCGACTCCTACTTAGTATCCCACAATGTGCATAACCCGTCAGTTTGGATTTAGGCTGAGAAAAAAGTACTAACAATGCAATTATGCATACTTGGACTACTAACAAACTTACTCTCAATAGAGACAAAACCTACTTCATGCTATTTGGAAACAGCTTCATATGTACAGTTAAACATACTGACAAATGGTTCACCCATTTCAAGACACACAGAGAGCAAATTTCTATGTCTTCACCTTGACTGCAGTCTCAAATTCCAGACCTACATACAGCAAATATCCAAGAAAGTCTCCAAAACAGTAGGCATCCTATGAAAAATACGGTACTATGTACCCCAAATGGCTCTTCTTGCTCTTTACCACTCTCGTTTACCCTTACCTCACCTGTGGTATTTGCGTATGGAGCTCAACCCCAGCAAATCACTTTAAACCTTTAATAATGCAACAAAAAGCTACAGTGCAAATGATTACTAACTCCTGCACTAGACAGCATATTCTGCCGCTTTTCAAGAGTCTTAACTTGCTTAATATACAAAACATCCACACTTATTATTGTGCCTACTACATACACAGAACACTATACTCAAATATAAATCCTCCTCTTGAACTCTTCCTCAATAACTATAACAGAACACACAGCCACAATACAAGGAACAAATCACTCTTCTCTATCCCTTGTGTCCATCTCTCCCTATTCAAAAATACTATACATGTAAAGAGCCCGAAGATCTGGAATTCACTGCTTGAACACACTAAAGGACCCCTGCCTGCAGATCAATTTAAGGCCCTACTTAGAAATCACCTCATCACCCAAAATTAACCAGACAAACACTTTACTTAATACCTACCAGTTACTCCAAAGCTACTCAAAAAAACTTATAAATAATTTAAGACTGTTCATCTATTTGACAATTTACTTCAAACTTAAAATTATTTCAATTTCATTATTGTATACTGCTGATGACTGCTCAACCATGTCCTCATTACTTCAAACTTATAAGTGTTTCAATCTCATTGTTTTAAAATGTACTAAATTGCAATTCTTCATATTGTAAATTGTTTTAACATGTTCTAAATTGTAATACTATACTTTTATAAACTATATCAAAATTGTAATTATTTTATATTGAACTGCTCTACTAGACTTATTACAGCCATAGAGCATTACCTAATTCCCTTGTACTCATTGTAACTCATCTAATGACCATATGAACTGTTATTGCCTTATTAGTCTTAAGTTAATTTTAAGTTTGCCTGAAATGCTCTGCATACAATGGGGCTTTTGGCATGTACACCCAACTATTATATTCCTTTGTACAACCATGTGTCATGTCAAAATAAATTCTTCTTCTTACTATTATTATTATTAACTTAATATATATTAGTGTAAACTTGTTATCTTGTATTTATAAGTGGAAAAAATGGCATTCCGGTGGTAGCCTGGAACATGTTATATAAGTAGGCCCCACTATTGTAATGTCTTGTAATAATGGTGCACATCAGTACAATTTACCCTTTCATATGGCTTCAGATGTGTTTAATAAATTTTGCTTTTGTAAGAACTCTCTAGAAATTGAAAAACTGATGAACTCTCCGTTACTATTTTTTGTACTAAATCTGAATTCTATCTATGTTGTATTATAATAGATTTAACTGAAAATTGTTTTAGACACTGAACATCATTATGGTTTTTCTCTGTTATGAATTTTCAAGTGCTTTATTAAACCATCTTTAACTGCAAATGCTTTTAGACACTCTGAACACTGATAAGGTTTTTCTCCAGAATGAATTCTGATGTGTTTTGCTAGACTAGATCTGGCAGCAAATACTTTTAGACACTCAGAACACTGATAAGGTTTCTCTCCGGTATGAATCCTGGTGTGTTTTAATAAAGTAGATTTTTCTGCAAAGTCTTTTAGACACTCTGAACATTTATATGGTTTTTCTTTAGTATGAACTCTCATATGTCTTACCAAATTGAACTTAACAGGAAAGTCTTTCGAACATATTGCACACTGGTATGTTTTCCCTCCAGTGTGACTTTTCTTGTGTGTTACCAAATGAGGATGTTGGGAAAATTCTTTTAGACAATGTGGACACTGATATGGCTTCTCTCCAGTATGAGTTCTCAAGTGGGCTTCTAAAAGTGCTTTTCTGTTAAAGTGTTTGAAGCACTCTGAGCATTTATATGGTTTCTCTCCAGAATGAATTTTGATGTGCTGTTTTAAATTAGTTTTTAAAGGAAATCTTTTCAGACACTCTGAACACTGATACGGTTTCTCTCCGGTATGACTTCTCATGTGTTGTATTAAATTAAGTTTTTTGGAAAAGCCTTTAAGACACACAGAGCAACAATGTGGTGTCTCCCCAGCATGAGACTTCAGGTGCATTATTAAAGTAATCTTACAGGAAAAGCCTTGTAGACATACTGAACAATGATAAGTATTTTTACTCTTATTAATTCCCAAATGCGATACTTGCTGAGTTTTTTGTGAAATGTCTTTCAGACACTCTGAAAACTGATACAGTTTGTCTTTTGACAGAACTGTGTGTGCTGACTGAACCTGCTGTTTTTTAAGCTTTTCAGACATAATGAACACTGACTTAATAATCTTCCATATAAACTATGAAGTACTTAACCAGAATACATTTTTCTGAATATTTATTACCATTGAAAACTATGACCCATAAGATTCATACAGTACTTAGGTAATGTGTGGAGTGATGTTAGGAATAAGAGGATAGTTCTAATGTAAATACAGGTCATTTAGTGCACACAGAGATCACTTAGTATACAAAAAGGTCACTTAGTGCACATAAGAGGTCACTTAGTGAATAGAGGTCACTTAGTGCACATACAGGTCACTTAGTCCATATACAGGTCATTTAAATTTAAATTTTGCATAACCATGAGCAATAAATTTAATAATGAATCAACTTCTCATCAAACCATTACATATGATTAAAGTACTGTACTAGTATTTCTCTAGTTAAACAGAATATATAGATTTATAATATTAATTCAAAACTGGAGCATCAATATTACCAGACACAGTGTAGTACAATGATTCTAAAAGGTAGGAACAATAAGAGAAGAAATTACGAGCATATAAAATTATTGTATAAAAGAGTTGTAAGGCGATACAGGAAAGTGACAGTGAGACAGAACAGATTACAGCAGCGAGGTGGTAGAATAAGTCAGATGGAAAATTATTTATGTACTTGATACAGTATACCTTGAGAGGGTTTTGGGGATCAACGCCCCTGCAGCTCAGTCTGAGACCAGGCCTCGTGGTAGATCAGGATCTGATCAACCAGGCTGTTACTGCTGGCCGCACACAAACTGACGTACAAACTACAACCCACAGTGCAATTACTTTTATTACTACTACACACTGGTCATATAAATAGCAGTTTCCTTACATACTACTTACACATTTAACATTTATAACACTGATGCACACTACATAATTATTCAGCACTAAAATCTTCAGAGAAATTATGCACACATCCTCTGAAGATAATACTGTATATTCACTTTATGGTAATTTTTCTGTATGTGTTTATTATAAAAAAACTAATTTCAATCAAAGATACTGTTGCACATAAAATCTGAGAATTGAGAATGTATCAATAGACTGTTCAGAGTGAGGGTTTAACAGTATTTATTTATGTCAGTTACTAAAGCCTTATCAGACTGACGGCAGTATTGTAAATATAGAAGTTCTAATATTGCCTACAGAGTGCTGTCACTATGTGTATTTCAATGTTAATGAACATCAGCTGTATGACTTAATATTGGTACTACCAGTGTAATTCCACTGGTGCTAGAATGAGCTGTAGTACTGGCACTACAAGTGTAATTCCACTGGTGCCAGGATGAGTTGTAGTATTGGCACTACAAGCATAATTCCACTGGTGCCAGGATGAGCTGTAGTACTGGCACTACAAGCATAATTCCACTGATGTCAGGACGGGTTGTAGTATTGGTACTACAAGTGTAATTCCACTGATGTCAGGATGAGCTGCAGAACTGATGCTACAAGTGTATGTCCTCTGGTGTCAGGATGAGCTGAAAACAAACAAACTTTAACAATAAAATAAGCTTTACAAACTTCTATATAATCTTTTGTTAACTTTTACATCAAGCACATTAACATTTTTAACCCTTTGAGGGTCGACAGGCCCTCTCCGAAACTCGTTCTCAGGGTCGGCCAAATTTAAAAAAAAAAAAAATTATTTTCTCTTATGAAAAGATAGAGAATCTTTTCCCGATCATAAAGACACCAAAAGTTTGAAATTTGATAGAAAACTTACGGAATTATGCTCTCGCAAAGTTAGCGGTCTCAGCGATGTTTACGCATCGGCGATTTTGCCCACTTTGAGCCCCATTTTCGACCAATTTCACTGTACTAGTCGACAAAAAACATGAATATTTCGCTAGAACTCCATTTTTTCTATCGAATGGGTGCAAGAAACCACTCATTTATGAAATTCAACTATCCAGTACAGTGGTCAGAATTTAGCAATTTTGCCAATTTCACACAAATTTCAAAAGATGCCAATTTCCGAATAGGGTCCAGAATAAACAAGAAAGACATTCCTGGCACTAAAATGACATTTCCTCTGGGTCATTAGCCCACGTCTCAAGGCCCCTCTTATATTCTTTTGCTTTACACTTTGAATTTTTATTTTCACAAAAAATATAAGATTTACTTTTATGCAGACTACTGCATTAGTGTAAAAATGGTATAAATATTATTGGTGCACTTGTGAAAGAATATTAGACTAACCATTTGACGTGTATTGCACCCTTGGCACGATTTGTTTACTTTTGAAGTTTGGAAAAAACCGAACATTTCTGCTACTTTGAGCTCAATTTAAAGGGCACCTTTCTTTGTAAAACCATCAAAATCATCTCAATTTCTGTAATATGTCTTCCATTCTATAAAATGAGACCAAGAAAACTAGAATACAACAATAAATACCATAACGAAAATACACTGCAAATTTCGCTGATTTATTAAAAAAAATGGTCAAAGTTTTTTTTTCTCATTATGCACTGTGTGCTGCAGGATTTTTTTTAGACTGTGCACACTGACCACATAGACCCATTCTTTCATATGAAGGCCTACCAGCTTTCTCCCACTAGATTTGAGGCCGCTAGAATTTATGAGTACTAGTACGTCAAAAACCCCTACGCGTAAGACGTACTAGTACGATGAAAACCCTCAAAGGGTTAAATAACAATATATTCCAACTAAACACAAAAGGGACATAGAACAGAGGTAAGTAGGGAGGGAGGGAAAAGACAGTGCAAGGGTAATGGTTAATGAGGGAAGAGGACAGCACAAATAGTAAAATATAATCACAGTTGGTGTAATAAGTTAAGTTACTGTTCAAAGGTTGAAGAGAGAATCTGTTGGACTTTCCATGAGAAGGTCAGTTAAAGTGTTGGGGTACTGGAGATGTCAGCAGTAAGGTCTGTGTGCCTGCTGGTAGAGAGGACACTCTATTAAAACATGGTGACCTGAAAATGCAGCCAGGCAATCCTTAGAGAGCAGAGCCGGACTTTTTCCACCAGATGTCCGTGAGTGAGATGTGTGTGGCTGATAGATAGGTGGGACAGTGCAATCCCTCAAACATGACAGCAGTGGAAAGAAAATGGCTGGAAACCGAAACGAGGCTGGACAGAGAGCAATTTATTATTAATTAACTTGAACCACCATTGCTGTCAACAGTTGCAAAGTTGTCGAGAGATCACTGAAAAATTGTCTGAAAAAGGAACACCCTTACACAAAGTTGGGAGTTCATGAACAGCTGACCAAGTGGCGGAGTCTGCTTGTTAGTTACCCTGAACAACAACATGTCCTGGGACCAAGCAAAAATAGCCCACATTTACTAGAAATGTGTCATAACCAGGTTGTACATAAACGACAATGGATTATGGCGAATCAAATTTCTGGATGGCCTGTAATGTACTGTACTTTTTATTATAATAAAAAAGAAGCACTAAGCCCACAAGGGTCATACAGCACAGCAGGGCAAGGGATGGTGCAGAATTATAAAGTAGCAAGGGTAGAGTGGACAACAGAGGTAGAGTTAGAAAGGGCTGTGAGGAGTGCAAGAGGAAGGATAATCAAAATTTGTGTAGTAACTCAGTTGCTGTCAAAAAGTCAACGAGGGAATCTGGGTCAAAGGTGGGTCCGTCAGCAAGGAGGGAAGATAAAGTAAGAGTGTTAGAGTGGTGATGACATTGGAGGTACATTCTGCATGCCCGCTGATACACTGGACAGTCCAACAGAATATGGTGAACCGAAATTGGAACCTGACAAGTCTCACAGAGTGAGATAGCGTACCTCTCCATGAGATACCTATGAGTAAGATGAGTGTGTCTGATGTGAACATGAGAGTGCATAGTCTCCCAACCTCAGCATCAATGACAAGAAAATAGCCAAACCTAAATTTGGTTTGATAGAATGTAATTTATGTATATTATCAGACCACCACTGTTACCAGCAGTTGAGAAGTGGTCAGAAATTACAGCAAATTAGTCTGTGAATGGAACACCTCTACATGAAACCGGGAGGTCATGTATTGCTGACCTTGCAGCAGTGTCTGCACAGTTCATTGCCCCATACGTCAATATGACCGGCGACACAACAGAAAACAATATCTTTGTTTTAGCTAGAGATGTGGTGTAACCAAAGTTGTATATGAAGGACCAGGAGATGAGGTGAATCTTTTTTTTTTTTATAGCTTGCAAAGCACTAAGGGAGTCAGAAACTACCAGAAATGGTGACACAGGCATAGATGCAATACGGATAATTGCTACGAGAATTTCACACAACTTAGCTGTAAAAATACTAGCTGAGTCTAATAAATGCCCTCACACTACACTGTCTGGAAACACTGCTGCAACCCAACACCATCAGAAGATTTAGAGCCATCAGAGAACAGTACACTGTGATGGCACAAGAATGAGACCAGAAGTGATTAAGAAAAAGAGAGTGAGAAGCAACTGCAGGTATTTGGACTTTCGCAGACGGCAGTGGGGAAGAACATACATGAACTGTCGGACCCTCCCAAGGGGGAAGAGAAAAGTTAGATGCTACATGAACAAATAAAAGGGGCAATTTGAAGAGAAGACAAGAGCGAATGTATATGAAGGGAAAAAGGATGAAATACACTGGGGCGATGAACAATAAACCCCTACTTACATTCGTTACTATCCTATATATGGAAGGACTATGAAGGTTATGACAGCGAGCAAAACAGCGGAGGCAATGAGCATCATGGCAATCATTCAAGGATGGAATATTTGCCTCTGCATATAGACTCTACGCATGAAAAGCGGAAAGCATCTAGGCATAAACGTAATCCCTGGTGACGGATGATATCAAGGTTAGAAAGAGTTGCAGGAGAGGGTGCTGAATACAGTGGACCCCCGCATAACGATTACCTCCGAATGCGACCAATTATGTAAGTGTATTTATGTAAGTGCGTTTGTACGTGTATGTTTGGGGGTCTGAAATGGACTAATCTACTTCACAATATTTCTTATGGGAACAAATTCGGTCAGTACTGGCACCTGAACATACTTCTGGAGTGAAAAAATATCGTTAACCGGGGGTCCACTGTATATCTGGTTGCCATAATTTAGTTTCAATAAAATGAGAGCTGGAGAGAGTTGAAGGAGAGTTCGACAATCAGCCCCCATGAAAGATGAGCGAGGGTTTTAAGGAGGTTCAACTGTTTATGACAAGTTGCCTTCAAGAAGACAATGTGAGGTTTCCAGGATAACCAACAGTCAAACAGAAGGCCAAGAAACCTGACAGTAATACATTCAG